TAAAGTCCATGAAATATTTTAAATTGATAGATTAACTTACATTTTTTTCCCGTCACTTGGGACGGGTACTCTTTTGCTTGTTTCAGATGTTACGTCAAAGTTATGGAGTTTCATGATTTTCGTATATAGAATTTCTTAAGAGTACTGATTCATTCTTTCAGAAATTAGGACATGATCATGATTTTAATAAAAAACGTCAATGTAATTGCTAAGAACTTAGAAATATAAACACTGTTAAGTTTCCTAGTTTTCGTATAAAACTTACTTAGCACATGACAAGCTTTTAAAACTTGCTATAGAAAATACATCTTATAAGATCATCCAAAATATTAAAAAAACGTAAACTTCAGTGCAAGTGTAACAAAAATTATTGTTGATTTGTTGCCTGGTTTCTTCACAATGATTTTTTTTTAAAGGATGCGAGTATAAGTTAGAAGTTAAAAGACATAACATCAATATTTACCATGTTTGCTTGAAATCAGAACTGTGTGTTTTATTTATTAACGACTCTACATAAAATGCAAATACAAATATTAAATCGTTAATTATTGTGTTATTTCCCTTTACAAATCATTAGAACACTAGATAATTTTTAATGTTAAAAAGCTCATGTTCAATATAATATACAAGTTTGTTTATACTTCTGTACGAATAGTGAAATTAATTATCTTTGTTTTGTTTTCTTACTGATTCATTTTTGTTCATGTTATATTAGAGCGAATAATAATAATGAATTATGTCTAATTGTTTTTTATATATTAAATAAAATAATTGATTCTAATGAAGAACCAAAAGCAAAACACACACACACATACATATATACATATGATGTTAATTTGGTTTTCATAACAAATTTTACTGAATTATGTCGAAAAGACTGTTGCCCTATATTTACAGGAACATGATACAACGCCCCCAGTGGCACAGCGATATGTCTGCGGAATTACAACGATAGAAATCGGGTTTCGATACCCTTGGTTACATAGGAAACTCATTGTGTAGCCTTGAGTTTAATTACAAAAAAAAAAAACATGATAAATATGAAAAAGACTGAAAAAAAAACTACAAGATAAATCTTGAAGTTTTTGTTTGCTTGTTTTAGATCTTCGCGCAAATCTACACAGAAGTAACTGCACATATATCCACCCCTTAATGTCTAAAAGAAAAGCAGTTTATCAACAACGTCCACCGCCAACTCTTAGAGTGTTCTTGTACTTTGGACTAGTTGGAGATGACCATCACTTACAGCGCATTCAAATCCCCAAAGTGCGGAGCCTGTTTTTGTGGCAACGGGCCGTAAACTGTGAACCTTCGGATTCAGAGACCGAACATACTAGCCCTAGGCCACAGCAGGCCCTTGACTTTTTATCTTATAATTAGTATATTGTTTTGAAAATAAAAATGGAAACAATGTCAAACTCATGCTTCACTTGTAAAATAAAAATATAAAATTTTAGAATAGTATTTCAAAGGTATTTATTTTTAAGCTTCATATTGTTAAATATAAGATTCTTCGAAATAAATCTTAAAGCCGATTTAATATCCAATTATAGAATTTTAGCACTACGTAAGATTACGTTATCAAGTATCCAACAAATATATAATTTGAACTTATAATATCGACATCATTTGGTTTTGCATAGTATTTTCACATAGCTTAGTAAATATCTCTAAGGGAAACTCACGAAGTAAACGCTATTGGTTGAAGTTAAAATACGATTACTCTTGGTTTTTTTGAAGTCTAAAACTGTTGAATCAATTTGAATGTATAAATGCATCTATAATGCATGTTTATATACTAGTAAAATGTAATGATAATCTCTTTACGTCTATGGCTGGCGAAAGGGTTCTCATGCTAAAATCAATTAGACAAAAATCTAATATATCTGAAGGAAAGTCATTACACAGAACCATCTGTCGTCAAAATCAATTGGCTAAACTTTAACATAGTTATATATTTTAGAAGAAGTGTGCCTGTTGCAACAACTGTTCAGCCCAATTATTCCATAAAAACAGTTTTCCGGAATCTATATTTATAAAATATGTATCTTTTACTTTAATATTAGCAAATATGTTAAACAGTTTAAGGCGTGGAAAATATTAAAAAACTTATCAAAACACGCCTGTTTAACATATGGTGCGAACATGTGTTCGTCTTATTAGTTCTAGTTTGTTTTTTGTTCGATATTTTCTGTAAAGTTATATGAATCTTACAAAGATGGTGGTAAGATAAATGAAATAATGTTGATATTTTAATTTGTTTATTAATTGAGAAGTTTCAGTAAAAAGGATTTTAATTGGTCATAAATAAATATATCCGAGATCCAGAAATGACCTTTTTTTCTGAGGTTTTGAGAGTTATAATAGCAAAGATATCAACAGATCACAGAAGGTAACAAACCCTATATCATGACCAATTGAGAACTTGAGTTCTTATCAGCCAAGCTAGTTCAATGGTAAGATAAACCGTTGGTTCTGATGACAACTGTTGTAACTGAAACTGCTTTATTATACGAAATATTAATAAAATACGAGAGAGAGAGTTGATTGGAAAACTACACCAACCTCATGGCAGTTTCGGATTGGTAAATGAACAAATATATGCAAAAAAATTTACGCCAAGTAAAGTAGTTTTTAAAGTACATCTAATGTTATAAATTTCCACAATTTTTGAACCAAGTCAACCAATCAAATGTTTTAAAACTGGATTTAACCCTGAGCATATCTACAGGAGGATTTTTTTATTTTATTAGATCACTGTTAAGATTTATAATGGTAAATTAACGTCACTTTCATGATAAGTATGTATGTAATACTATCTAATAATATAAATGTAGAACAATAACATGAAAAAAGCTATTTTGACAACAATAAACGTTTTTAATCCAGAACAGATACCGTTATTTAAGGGTCTGGCTCAACACTGCTATTTACAACCATTTCTTTATAAATATATTTTGCCAGGAGTAAAATCGAATATTGACTTTTCCACTTTTGTATACACATATATATATATATATATATATACCAAATTTTACACAAGTTACGCAGATGTTTGTACACAATGGCAAATTTAATAACAGTATACATAAAATAAACAACATTAAACTCCGGAACTTACCACGTTTACTGCATAACGAGCTTGCGGCGAAAAGACAGTTAAGTTTTTTTTTTTAATAATTTGGCTCAAAAATGTTTAAAATAAGTCTTTGATTTCTTTATTTTAACAGAATACGAAATATAAGGTAAGGGGGAGGAGAGCTGGTGCTGGAGAAAGCAGAAGGAAGTGCTGATGTTCTGTTAAGGCATATGGGTGTTTTGATGAAAGACTCAATATTTCTAGGAAAAATAAAATATATGTTTCAGAACATCAGCACTTCCTTCTGCTTTCTCCAGCACCAGCTCTCCTCCCCCTTACCTTTAAGATGGGCCAGCAGATAGTTAGTCAGGTAGAGTCATTCTTTAGAGGTATTTTATCACAAACACAGAAACACGTGTAGGAATATATACTGTTCTGTTTCACCAGACAGAATACCTGCAATATCAGCCAAGAAGCTCCACCTAGCTTCGAGCTAATGATACCTAATCTGAGATGACCTACACGATAAACTCAAATGTGCAAAGACACTACTCGGTTCCGATTTCAGATTTTCACTGAATGAAATTGCTTTCTGTGCAACCGTATTAATTTATTTGTTAGTGTTTTCAAATTTGACACGCCATTTATTATCGAACGACTTTCTTCTGCATTTGGTCACCTTCACGATTAAACCTTGCTTCACACTGCCGTATCTGATTGTACACTGTATCAATTCTATTTTTCAATATTTTTAAACTGCGCTCAGGCAAGAATGGTAACCAGTCAGTCATACCGGGATCATCTTTAACAAAGGATTGTTTTAGAAGTACAGAAATATTTCTAGTCCTATGCATTTTTGCAATAGAGTCTGCAGTCTGTTTACGAAACACACATAAAGAATTTATTAGCGAACGATGAAAATGCTCATATTTGTCTAATAGTCGATAACCATGAAGAAGTCCTGATTCGTTGTCGAAGAATACTAGTAATCCTGACTCTTTGTGTTTGGCGAGATTGTGTGTTGGCGAATTCATCATCTCGGGATTCCACTGTTCGTTAAACATGTTGTTTACTACACGATCAAGATTCGCTGTCAAGTAATCAAACACGATTAAGTCTGACCATTGAGCAAGCTCTACAAGTTCAACCAAAGTTTTATTGAACAAATCTTCAGCCACTGGATGAAGCCGTCGTTCTTTGGTGCGAAAGGCACGAGGAATATAGGCGGGAATCAGCTTGTCCACAAACATCGTTAACACGAGTGGCCTCTCAGTATTCCACTGGGCTAAGTAAAGTTGTGACTGTACATGCCCCCACTGCCACTCTTTGTCTCTGATGACAGCTAGCACGGAGGGCGGCAGGTTTCCGATGTTCAAAAGTCTACTTAAATAGAATGAGAAAATTTCACCCTGGATTTGATCATTGTTTTGTCTGTATCGACAACATGACTGTTTTCCATTATCGAAAGTAATCAATCTGTTTTGCATTCTACCACAACCTTTCGAAATGTTTGCAATTTTTGTTTTATTAACGAACCAACGCCAACTGTCTATATTTTTGATGAAGCCATCGGGAAGAATTTTTTCTACTTCTTCTGCCCAATATATTCCGTTTACTATGTTATTCGTTTCTCGAAGATTTAGGTTAGCAACATTTTTAAAAAGCCACTGATTCTCAAGAGAAGAGATTATCGGGAATCTCGACTGTGTTTTGGGGAGATTTTTGATAATGTTGTTTCTGTGGTTAACTCGAGAAATCGGGAAACTTTTGGTGCCTTGCACTCGCACGGAGTGCCCCGGCATCTTCATGTTCGCCGCAGGGAGCCAACGGAGACTGAGCCCGGATGAGGAGGTAGTAGCGGCCCTACCGTTTTTAACGAGGTGGTCTTCCGTGAGGTCTTTTATTTCATTGTTCGCAGCCCCCACCGTGATTTTATTGTACTTTTGGCTAAGATCAAACCTAAGAACACCGCTAGTTTCCACGTTCGTTTCTTGACGTGGAGGTTCCCCTAAACTGTTATCGATATTGTGAGAAACTGGAGAAAAATCTACATAAACTGAGGAAGGCGTTAGTGGAATCGGAGTCGATGTTTCGCCACTTTTATCAGCATCTTGACCTTTCAGGCGACTCGTTGTTAGCGTGTCTTCTTTTAAAGCATGCCCTTCCTTCGGCCAACTAAACCCTCGTTGTACGTCTACTCTTTCACGGTTACGAAACTTTTGAACTTCTCGAATTTCATCATTTTCAATCGATCTGGAATTAAGAACAATCACCGATGTTTGGGTTACAGATGAACTCCACGTGATGGGTTTGACGACACTAGTGAATCGGTTCTGCTGGTTTTCTCTGCGAAATACAGTAAACCCTGAATCTTTAGATGGTTTCAACACATAATCCGGTAGCAGAACTCCACATAATATTCCTATCGTAAAAGCAATACCAGTTGAAGCCAAGCACACATTACGGGATTGTTGGCAAAAGCCTACGCTTACTGATCCAGGACCGTTACTCATGGTCAGTTTACGTAGTTCGTCCGCCATTGTACACACCTGCAGTTTATAAACATTTAAAAATGTTAATAATTAACAATATAACACTTGCACTACTGACTACTTAATTTCTTGGCATACAGGTACATTAACTACAGATTCTGCTTGCGTGATATTGCCTTTTGTCAAATTTCTCGATACTCAAGAATAATAAAACCTAGACTCTTAGAGTCTCACTTTTCATCATAAGATATACGTTTTCATCTATCAGGCCAAACACGGTTAACACTAGAACATTGTCTGAACATATTGTATCCACTGATAATATATCACTATTGTGTGCAAGAACAGTGGCTGAGTGAGCAGAAAGCAGAGCGAATTAGCAGATAAATATGATCATTCCGTCAGAGCAAAGACGGTGACGACAAAAACGTATGTGAAACAGCATCCGTATACTGCAAACTGATTGTTCGTATCTAACATTTAGAAGCCACTTTAACTACACATTCCAGTAGGCTGGTGGCGTCAATGTAGGAATGATTCTCACAGTTTAGTTTTGTAAACGTTACTTGTTCCCAAACTAATGAGTATTTTTGTGAAGCTGCGTTAGCATGTAGGCTAAATAACGCACGGCTCTATGTCGTTCCTCTTCTGTGGCTTTCACTTTCTTTTTCCCTTACCCTCCTTACTCTGCATTCCTCCAATAACAAGCCTAGGCACCGCAGGAACTGAAGATCTCCGCAGTGCTCACCTGGTGTTTTAAGCCTCGGCTCTGATCCCTGGTCTCCCACTAATCACCCGAAAAGGAAAGAAAATGGCGCAACTCCTAGTAAACATGTATGGGCCCTGTTGTGAAGCATATTTATATGCAGATTCTTCCCGATTCGCCGGTAATAAACGTTGCTGCAATTTTTTTTTTTACAAACAGTAAATCGTCTAAATCAATTTCTATAAAACGGTTTTTTTTTCTAATATCAGCTCAGCCACATTTCGAATACTCTCTGATAACGCAAACGAAAGACATCTCAAGTAACTAGGTAGATGAGTTGCGAGGCCTTTGCTGTGTGGAGCAGACGAACACTGTGCGCGGTAGATAACTAACTGAATCAATGCGCATTTCGGTCGAAGAGAAACTTGCTTCTGGGACAGGAGGCTAAGATGCCCTTAGATGACGTCATATACGGAAACGAGGCTCGCATGTCGAAAACATTTTTAAGCAAAGAAAAGTTTGTTTAACAGTGTGTACACAGAAGTTACGAATCTTGTAACAAAAAGTACAATTATTTTGTTTTCCCACCCACGCAACAGAGATAGGGGTTTGTCACTGGCGTACTTGTTAAGATAATGCCTGTTGACTTTCAGGTACCTTTTTCCTCATTTCGCCGTATGGACCGACATATCCTCTAAATGAATGTCTGAATTCTAATCTGCTGGTCTGAATTCCTACGGTTTTAAAAGACATGGTTAAAAAAGCTACAAAAGTGTAAATTTGGTGAACCATATTCAGAGTCATTGCTAGATATTAAGTACCATATAAAGGTCTCATTTCATACATTTTCTCATCACTGGTGTTTAGGTTTTTATAGACCTGGAAGGGTCAGGTGCAAATGACCTCTTCCTTCCCCCTTTCAGGAGAATATGAAATACTAAATACTACATGAGGGTTAGAGTATCCCCCACTTACTATGACCCCTTTCAGGTCAATGTCCGTGTAGGTTCTTACATTTATTTGTGAATGAATATATTTTCTCTTTATTCGATGTTGCAAAGTCCAGCGCATGGCGAACAGTTCCACATGTATTTATCGCATTATATTGGTTTTAACACTAATCGAGAGCATTTACACAAAATGCCCTATCAATGTTGTCGTATCAGCTTAAAACTAATGTGAGTTTCTTAATCTAGCGTAAGGTGGCCTATTAGATTCTTATTTTTAATATACATATTAATTGGTGAAAGGTACTTAGGGCTATCTATCTTCTCCATGTATAAAGTAGCGAGCTAATTCACACAGTAGGTCATTTTTGTGTCAATGTTTCGCGAAATCATTTAGCGAATTATGTAGGAGTGTATCATAATTGTTCACGAATTTTGATGAAGTGAATCTGGGTGCTTTGTACGCTGTAGTGAGTAATGAATCTTGTATTGTTTGTAGTTTATTGATGTGGTTTTGTGCTATGTTAATCCATGCAGGGCATGCATATTCAATTACTGGACGTATGTAGGTTTTGTAGATCTTGATTATGTTATCAGCTGAAGTTCCATTGTTTTTGCCCGTTAGGCTCCTGGCATAATTCGTACACTACCAAACTTTTGTTATAATATTATTTATGTATTTAACACATTTTAATCGTAGGTTAATCCTAGGAAGTTGGCTGATGTTATGGTCTGGAGAAGTGTCCCATTTATATATATATAGTTTGGGTGGGTTCTTTTTTTAGTTTTGCGAATACTACCAATTGATTTTTGGGGACATTTATTTTGATATGGTATTTTTGGCAATATTCTACGATATTATTTAATTGTGGTTTTAAATTTGTTGCTGCTATTGGAGTGGGAGTACTTTTTCAGACCGCAGCATCGTTAGCGAATTGGGAAGAAAAACCTGGATTTGGATCCTTAAGGGACATATTGCTGTACATAGATGATGAATAAGGTAGGGCTAACTACTCCTCCTTGTGGGAGGCCTGCCTCTGAAGTAAATAACTCCGAGAAGGTTCCCCCTACATTATTTTACAAATTATATTCTTCAGAAAGTTTGATAGCCAGCGAATAATACCGCGCGGCAGTTCTATTTCTGACATACAGAAACTTAGACCATTGTGCCATATATACCGTGTCGAATACCTTCTTGATATCGAGAAAGCATGCGGCAGTGCGTTATTTCTTATTAAAGCTATCTATGATTGATTTCGTTAGTCGAACTAAGTCGTCATTAGTATGTCTAAAGTTTCTAAATCCATTTTGGATTGCAGATAATTTTGAAGTGATCTCCAAGAATGTGGAGAGTCGGTTACTGATTACACAGGCCTGCGAATTTAAACTTGATAAAAGTTGTTTAGGTATTAATAACGGATTTTCCATAATTCAGCTACACAGATTTCGAATATTATTTTTTTCTATCGTGTAAATATTTTTTTTACAAATCGGGAATAAAAAAACTCTATTAATTAGATCAAATTATTATTTCGTTTACCACAATGAATTTTTTTTATTATTATGTGTGTTTTTCGTGGGTTCTAGAACGATCGATAAGACTCTCACGTCGCGATTGGTCTAGAGAAATATATAGCAAGTGGTTGTCAAAATGTTAAGCATAATAAAATTTGACCTGATTTCAATGAAAATGATTCACTTATGTAAAAGTACATATGACGTTTTGTGAAAAATCTGGACGTGATGGAGAAAAATTGATATTAGTTTCATATTCAGCATACAGGAATTGCCGTAAAACATGTAAAAAATTTAAAACAATAAAACCATCGCAGGCCTGTGTCATTCTTTCTAGAATTTTGCCAACACAGCAGGTCAGGGGATCGAGCGGTAGCTGTTCGGTTTGTTTGCTGGCTTACCTTTCTTGTGAAACATTAGTACAATCGTTTGCTTCGAAGAAACCGGGATGTGTCCAGAGTTTAATGAACGGCTAAAAAGGGCTGTAAGGTTTCAAACAATCTCGGAGTGCCTTAGTTGAGGAGGATAGCCTGAATGTCATCTTCTCCTGGAGCTTTGTTTTTTTCTTGCTTTAATTGCTTGTTTAACTTCTATTTCCGTTATGTTTTTTGTCATCTGATATATTACAGGATTTTCGTTTGTATCGTCATATATTTGATCACTGCATATGTTAGCATATGATAGCGTATGTGGTGTGTAAAGAATTATGTTTTGTGTTACATACTTGTTCACCTCATTAAAGAAATGTGTATTCACGTCTGGTTCATGGTGTGTCCAAAATGGGTGTTGTAGGTGTTCTTTAAATGTTTAAGCCTTTTCAAAGTTTGTGTGTGCCAGAGTATGAAAATCTAATGGACGACAGCTTACAGTTGTACGTGAAACGATATATTTCGAAGATAGTCAGATTTACATATTTATTTACTCAATGTTTAACAGTGTAAAATTGTGAGCCAAATCAACAGTTACTTATAAATAATATCTATCTATATATATATAAGTAAGTAGCTCAGCGCAAGTAAAACATTCTGTTCTACAGAAATCTTTACTAAACTGCGAAATGGAGAAAGTGCCTTTCGTTCCGTTTAACATAACCGGAAAATATGATGTTTATAAAACTTTCTACTCGTAAAAACACATGGCTTTACTACACTGAAACCATGTTAATCTTGAATTTTGATCAAGTGTTAAGAGTTGTTATAGTGACAAACTTGAGTGAAAGGCAAAGGATCTTTGATTTAAAGTAATGGTAGAAAGCTGAATTAATTGAAATCAGCGACGTACATTACCCCTATAAAACGTTTCCCAAGTATAGTAAGACTATTTTAAAACTTGATCAAACACGATTTACAGTTCAAAGATAAGAATACGTTGCGTTTATTTTAATAAGGGAGGAACTGGCATATAATTTCACTTGTTTGTTTGTTGTTGTTTTTTGATATCTATGCCAAGTTACATAAAAGCTATCTGTGCTAGCCGTCCCTAATTTTAAAATGATAGACTAGATGGAAGGCAAGACCTAGTCAAAAATACTCACCGCCAATTCTTAGACTACTTTAATGGAACAAATCCAAATTGTTCGTCATTCTTATAACTAAATCATCGTCCCAAAATGGGACGCGAACCATGGTCTATCTGGTTTATAGTCCGGCTATTTAATCATGAGACCACGTTGCCCAATTCCATTAGATAGTTTAATAAGAACAATGGACTGTTGAAGAGTGTACAGAAGGTTCTAAAATGGTCTATATTACATTTGGATAAAAACCTCAGCACCTACGATATCAGGTTTTGTGAAGCGGTAGACCATTTTTAGGCCTTTCATGACACCCATACGGTAGACCATTTTTAGGCCTTTCATGACACCCATACTTTATGCATGAAATGAACAAGGGGTTATTCACGAGAACTTCTTCCAGAATGGCTCGACAACGATTGTATTTTAAAGACTTCACTAGTCTGATTTGTGTAACACGATATCGTACAGACCTTTCTTTCTGTGTGTATTAGTTTGACTAGAGATGCGCCCTCACTAGAGGCCTTACAGTTTTGCTATTAGTTCTGCCAAGGGGAATCACTAATTTAGTAAGTCATCTATTGATATGTAAACCTATATAACTCATCTTTCTCAGACATACAATGGAAATGGTTAACCGAACATAGTAATTTATGTTGCCATACACGGTATCTGATATATCAATATTGAAAAAATCGCTTTTTGTTTAATTTAATTTAAATTGGAGTTCGGAAAGAATTGGAGTTCATATCAGTTCATCTGAATATTTGTAACAATTCTTATATAAATAATTTTCATACAAAATATACTGTATAATTTTCTGTAACATTTCATTAAGAATAAAATACTTAACTGTGAAAACATCCCCCAAGATTCGTAAGTGTGTAAAATAATTTCATCATTAATAGAACTTCTAAAATGCTACAATGAGAATATGCATATCCGTATTTCTAAGGCCTTCAACTTCTATTAGAAGCAAAGGAATAAAAATAAACACTGGGCACTTCCAATCAACATACTCTAGAAATGTTTGAAGCGTTGATATTCTATTAGCATGATAACTCAAGAGCAACGTGAGTTAATCAAACTTGGCATATCGCGTGTGTTTTTAAAACACCCATAAACTTATTTTAAACTCTCAAGACTAAACAGACCTTCTGATATAAATA